ACTCTACCACTGAACTATATCCCAAGCCCACAGTGACCTAAATTTAAATGTAAATTTTCTCAACAGACATTTGATTTGTTTGCCACACACTTGAAAGTCTAAAAGGACATATATTTCATCTCAACCAGAAAAGTCTGTAAACCTCTTTTTCTTTGGTAGACCTGGTGGTTGGACCCAGGGCCTTACACTGCTGGCACACTAACACTGAGCTATCTATATTCAGCCCAGGTTTTTTTCTGTGTTTATTCATTCGTTTGTTTATAGACAGGGTCTTGCTATGTAGCCTAGACTGGCTCACTAACTGTGGTCTCTCTGTCTCATCCTCTAAGTGCTGGTATTACAGGTACTCACTCACCACTATACCCAACCTCACCACCCCCTTTGGATTTACATAAATTTGACATTTAACTAATACTATGTCATGTTTCCCTTAGAACTGCCTGAATAATAAGTGGAAGATGCTTTGGCCTCTGTTCGAGAGGAACAAAAAACAAAAACACAAAAAAACCCAGCAATATGTAAACAAGTGTTGGCAAGGTCACCACTGAGACAATAAGACTATCCATATTAATTTGCAGTTTGCAATAGGGTGATTCCGGATGATTCGACACTGACAAGGTTGCACACTAACAGTACAACCTCACCTTGCTGTCTGTTCACAAAAGGCCCTTTGATCACATCCACTGGAAAAACACTTATCAAGGGACAGACTTTCACAAACAGTCAAGAGACTGACCTTATCACAAGCAGAACAGCCACTCTGTAAGCCGCTGTCACCTCTCACCCAGAACAGTGCAATAGCCTCCCAACCATTGCCTCCTGCCTCCACCCTCATTTCCCATATAATACTCTATTTAAAAAAAAAAAAAAAAAAAAAAAAAAAAAAAAAAAGTTCCAGGCCAACCAATCTGATCTATAGAGCAAGTTCCAGGACAGAAAAACCCTGTCTCGAAAAAACAAAACTAACAGGGAAAAAAAAAATACTTATTTCTAATGATATGTGTGGTACCCCCGGAGTGGGTACCAGAAGGCTGTAGTCACCCTGTGTGTGTGCTGGGAACCAGTCTACTCCTCTGGAAAGGCAGCAAGCGCTCGAACAGCTGAGCCACCTCTCCAGTGAGCACTCTTAAATGAGCCACTGTCCCAAGCCCCCCACATAATCCTCTTCACTATAACCTGAGGAACCAGATAAACCATCATTCAGATTGTGTGACTGCTCAGAGTTCTGACAGCTAACAAGTCTGACAGAGGAAGGGAAGGAGAGAGAAGAGTCAGGGTCTCTGTGGAGAAAGGTCAGGAAGATAGGATCTTAAGTCTGGGGAGAAACCAGCTCACAGCACGGAAGGAGGGAGGATGCTGATGGCATCCTTCACTCTCTTGTGCCTAGAAGTATTGCTTCATTCACAGGCAGCGGTCTAAGCTGGGGAGCCTGCTGGTACACATCTACTTCCTGAAGCAAATCTAAAGACCAAGGCAGAAAGGACTCTGCTGGTAGAAAGGAGGCTGGCTGGTAAATGCAAGCCCTCCAGCCTAAGGCCTTCCCATCTCAGAGAGTCCTTTCAGACACAACAGCCACAGGCCACACGCTATTCCATCTCATCTCCCAGCCTCCCGTCTACCAGCCCCTCCTCACCCGGCACACTCTGTCCATCTCAGGGCCTTGGTGCATGCTTTCTCAGCCCAGAACACTCTTCTACCTGGCCCACTCATAACCAGCTCCCTCATATAGTTCAACTCTCTGACCAAACATGCTGTCCTTGACACACCCTTGCTTTTTTCTTAAAAATTCTAAGCAACTTCTCTTTACACTCCCTTCTTTGTGGTACTGGTGATAGACATAGTTGTGTACACTCTAAGCTCATGCTCTACCACTGGGCTACACCCCCATTCCTCATGTTTCTCTCTCTCTCTCGCTCTTTCTTTTTGGTTTTTTGAGACAAGGTTTCTCTGTGTAGTCTAGGCTGTCATGAACTCTGAAGACCAGGTTGGCCCCGAACTCATAAATCTGCCTGCCTTTGCCTCCCAAGTGCTGGGATTATACTTTTTTGCTTTTTTTTTTTTTTTTTTTCTTTTCTTTTCTTTTTTTTTTTTTTTTTTTTCTTAATTGACTGAATCTCTGGCCTGGAGCAAAAGTTTCCTTAAAAACATCAAATCCAAGGCTAAAGAGATGGCTCCGAGGTTAAAAGCACTAGATGGTCTTCCAGAGGATTCAGGTTCAATTCCCAGCACCCACATGGCAGCTCACAACTGTCTATAACTCCAGTTCCAGGGGATCTGACACCCTCACACCAAAATACATAAAAGTTAAATAAATTATAAAAAAACAAAACCCATCAAATCCAGCCAGGCAGTGGTGGTACACACCTTTAATCCCAACACTCAGGAGACAGAGGCAGGCAGACCTCAGAGTTAGAGGCCAGCCTGGGCTACAGAGTGAGTTCCAGGACAGCCAAAGCTACACAGAGAAACTGTCTTAAAAAACAAAAAAAAAAAAAAAAAAAATGAAATCCATTTCCTTTTTTCAATGACTCATGTCAAGTGTCTGAACAGTGCCTAGCACCTAAGAGAGATTTTCTTTTTTAAATGTTGATTGATTATTTTGTGCAACACATACACGTAGAGCCCTGGATGCCCTGGGCCTGAGTTTCAGACATTGTAAGCCATCAGGGATTGAACCTAGGCCATCTGAAAGAGAAGCCAGTGCTTTTACCCAGAGTCATCTCTCTAGCCCTCAAGAATTTCCTAAAAGAAAATGGGGAATAGAACAGGTTTCACAAAGAAGAGCACTTTCCACTGTTTACAGGTCTAACTCCTGTTACTAAGGTATTGTCTAACAAGTGAAGTTTCCCAAAAATGAGATAGGAAAGGAGTGGCAAGCATTAATCTTTATTGCCATGACACAAAATTGAGCTGGCAGCAAATCCCCGTAGAAGTTTCTTTGGTCAAAACCAAAAGAATCAAACAGCACTGTCTGAGAATTCCTCCCAGCAACCTTCTTTCCGATGACTGCACCTGACAGCTCTCTAAGCCTCTGCCTTCTCATCAGAATGTGTAAGGACGTCACACAATGCCCGGAGAACATGGAGCACTCAGCTGGAACCAAATGAATGGTCACCGTGGTGACTACTAAAGTGCAGCGGAAGCCTTCAGAATGAAGTATCACATTATCTTCCTATTAAGTGCAACTCTTCATCCTAGACTTTTAAAATGTGAGCTGGAATAATGACAAAGCATATAAGGCTCTATCACACCATTGGCGCAGTATCTGATGGACTCTCTACACTAACCTATCAGGGTCTAGCATCCACAGCCCTGGTCTTAGCCAGCCTCTTTTCAGAGCATCTTGTGTCTATTTTCGTATTGCTCATTATGCCTACTCAGAACTTAAGTTGTTTTCCTTATAGGAGCCGAGCAGGAAAGAACTTCCTCAATCTACTGAAGAAGATGGCAGCACACAAAAAGGAAAAGAAAGAGATCAGGAAAATTCCTGATACTGTCCCTAAACACAGATGTTTTTGTAAAGTGACAGGCTAACTCTGATCCTTCCTTAGGATCCTGCATACCCTTATCTGCTAAGTCAATTCCTTTAAAGGTTAAGAGATGGGAGGAAGCATGTCCAACTCCATAGTTCGCCATACCCTAGTCAACAACAGAAACGTCACTCTAAACACTGCACAGATTCTGCAGCTTTTTGCCACTGATGAAAGATTTCTTTGCAATGTTTTATAAGAGGCTTCTGTGGGACACAAGTTAACTAGGTCAGAGAGCTATATGCAAAGAGCAAGTTTCCTTTATTACCCTAAAGCCTATGAGGCAATAACTCAAAGATTAAAAGATTTGTTCTGCTACTATTCGAATAACCATGTGTTCAATCGGTTATTTTGTTATGAATTTTATTTAGGGCAAGCAAGAAGGCTCAGTGGATAAAGGTGCTTGCTATGCAAGCCTGATGGCTTCAGTCAGATGTTTAGAACCCACATATTGTATGCCTTGGCAACAGCACCCACAAACAAGCCATACACATTCACACACACAAAAACAAATATGTACTTAACCACAACTGTAAAATTTATATAGTCACTATTGCCACTAACTTTGCCTAAATAGAGGCTCCAGCATTAGGTATGAAAGTGAAGCAGGTTCCTCCATGGTTAAGCTTGGGTACTGATCTAGCGCTAACAAGACTCATTCTGACCACTTCTAGTAACAGATGGGTAAACAGCTCTACAACAGCCAAGTTGGAAACAACTCCAAACGGGGGGGGGGGGGGGGGAGGAAGTGTTGAGAAAAATTTAAACTACTGTTCACTACCCATACCTTAAACACTTTTCAAAATGGAATGTCCAGTACACCCTAGGCCTTAGTGAATCACAAGCAGTTCAAACTCCGTACTCTTTTTGTTCTTTCTAAACCATACAGTCTTCCAGACTGTCGTTCCTAACCAGGTTCCTGCCCAGGGGCTGTTTTCTTGTTTGAATTTCCAGCGTTCAACACCAGGTGCTCAAATAATTACCCACCACGAGGTAGGCCTCAGCCTGACCTAACAGGTCAGACATTAAACCGACTTGGGGATGGCATGACCATAGTCCGGCCGTTCGGTCCCCTAAATGTCCGGAAACTGCGAGCATGTGGGGGAAAGTGAGCAGTCGGCCCCAGATCTCCAAGCGCTGGCAGAATGGAGCAGGCTACCTGGTCCGCCCAGGATGCTGTAGGCTCCAGACACAGAACACGATTCTTTACATCTTCTGAAGCGGAGAGGATAGAGGTATTATCCTGTCCCCCAAGCCCAGCCATGACAACGACCCTTTCCTACCCAAGTGAGCCCCACAAACGCTCCACTCGGAAGCCCCAGTCTGGGCACCTAGAGCTCGGGGGCGGGGCGCAGTGCAATGTGGGAATTGTAGTTCCAAGGAGAGTTTCGCACCCATTCGGCTCTACAAACGGGACTCCTACTCCCAGAAGGCCCCGCGCGGGCGCCTCGCCCAGCCTTGCCACCTCACCTGTTCTATGGACGTGACTGTTTCCACTGAGTCGTCTTGCAACCGCTCTCGCGCGTGCTCAGGTCTCAGACTATACAGCGGTTCTGACCAGACAGGGGAGGAAGATGGAGGACAATAGTAGGTGAAGGAACTCGAAGAAGCCATGATCGGGAGAGCAGCGAGCGCTGTATAGGACTCAGCTTCGTCCAGCAACAACGCGCATTGAAACTCGAGCGGGCTAAGGCGCTACGGAGAGTGAGTAGAGTCAAAAAGCTTTTGAACGCGAAATCTCTCCTCCCACCTACACATCTTCAAGGAGTGAGTTAATGGGATGCTGCCGCCCCCCATTGGGCAGATGAGCTGCTGCAAGAGCTCAGCTTCCTGGAGCGAGAGGGATACATTAGTTTGTCGTGCTCATGCAAAAAAAAAAAAAAAATATATATATATATATATATATGTCTTCAACGTTCTGCTCTCACCTAATTGTAATGCAGCAGTTTGCGATTTCGGCTGCTCAAGAGTAACTTGAAAAGCATTTCTTGATTGCCTTAGTCACGCTCTTACTAATAGAATTACCATTGGGTACTTGACAGCCTCTTAGAACCCTGAGCTCAGTAAATGAGCAGAATTACTGGTCTCAGTACTCAGAGATAGAGAAGGGGAGCACTGTAATTTTCTCCTACTCCCTTGGGGGTGACAGTGCAATGGCAGAAACTAAAATACCATAGAAGAAATGAGTGTAAATGCAACAGAGAAATAGGGGGCTGGAGAGACGGCACACTGACTGTTCTTCCAAAGGTCCTGAGATCAATTCCCAGCAACCACATGATGGCTCACAACCATCTGTAATGAAATCTGGTGCCCTCTTTAGTCCTGCAGACAGACACTATATACATAATAAACAAATAAATATTTTAAAAAAGAAGAAGAAAGAAATAGTCAAATATTTGTGGATCACCTGCTCCTTGTACTGTGCTAGAGTCCAGGAATACAAAAGTGAAAAAAATTACAAGATTCCTTCCCTTTCAATACATCTGAATTTCATTTTAAATAAAGAGCTGGGTGGTGGCAGTTCACGACTTTGATCCTAGCACTTGGGAAGCAGAGGCCAGCAGATCTTTGTGAGTTTGAGGCCAACCTAGTCTACAGAGTGAGTTCCAGGGCAGGCTCCAAAGCTACACAGAAACCCTGTCTTGAAAAAACCAACAAACAAAAATGAACACAAATATCTGAAGACTTGCAATTATAGTATGACAGAAAATAGGCCAGGAGAGATGGCTCAGCAGTTAAGAGCACTGGCTGGTCTCCAGAGGACCTGGGTTCAATTTCCAGCACCCTCATGACAACTCACAACCATCTATAATTAACTACAGTTGCAGGGGATCCAACGCCCTCTTCTGGCTTCCACAGACAAGTGATGCAAAGATATACATGTAGGCAACATACCCATACACATTGTTTTTAGTGTTGTTTTCTAAAATATATTTTTGTTGAAAATAACTTTTCATGTCATGTATTCTAATCACAGGTCCCCTCGCTCATCACCTCCCAGATCCTCCCCATCCACCCAACGCCTTCTTTCTCTCTCTTGAAAACAAAAAGGCAAACAAAAAGAGGAAACAAACCAAAATTTAAAAAAAATAAAACAATGAGAAAGCACAAGAAATACATACACACACGAAATTATTTTTAATTATAAAGAAAAGAAACTAAAAGTGTTTATGAGACTGGTGGAATGAATAAGGTTCATATAATAATTAGATTCTGTGGCAGACCCAAGCCTTTCTGGGTACATGACATTTAAGCTGAGACCCTACAGATTACAAGCAGCCATCTATAACAATATGATTAGGGACCTCAATAAGAAAGAACTGCATGTTTGAAGGAACATGCCTCAAATATACTCATGCTTGGGTTAATTCTAATAAACACTGAGGAGGTGTTATCATAAAGTGACCTCCAAAAGGAGTGGCACTATTAGGAAGTGTGGCTTTGTTGGAGTAGGTGTGGCCTTGTTGGAGAAAGTGTGTCACTATTGGGGTGGGCTTTGAGGTCTCCCATGCTCAAGCTACTCCCAGTGAGACAGACCACTTCCTGTTGCCTACAAGTTAAGATACAGGACTCTCAGCTCTATCTCCAGCACCATGTCTGCTTGCGTGCACCATGATGATAATGGACTGAATCTCTGAAAATGCAAACCACACCAATTAAATGTTTCTCCTTTCTAAGAGTTGCTGTAGTCATGGTGTCTCTTCACAGCAATAAAAACCCTAACTAAGACATCCCCCACAAATACAAAATAAAATAGGGACTTTAAGGGAAAGCCTGTGGAACTGGAGAAATGGCTTAGTGGTGAACCAACAAGAGCCACTTGTTGCTCTTGCAGAGGACTACTGGCCCTCATTGGCCCCTCACAATGTCCTGTAACTCCAACTCCAGTGCCCTCTTTGGCCTCTTAAGTATACCTGCACTCATATGCACATACCCACACACTGACAGATGGACATCATTTAAATCTTTTTGTTTTGCTTTGTTGATTGTTTGAGACAGGTTTTTTTGTTGGTTGGTTGGTTGGTTTTTCAAGGCAGGGTTTCTTTGTGTGGCCTTGGCCTGGCTGTCCTGAATATTGCTCTGTAGACCAGGCTGGCCTTGAATTCACAGAAATCCACTTGCCTCTGCCTCCCTGGTGCTGGGATTAAAGACGTGTAACACTGCCTCTCAGAGACATAATTTAAATCTTTATGGGGCTGGAGAAATTACTCAGTGGTGAAGATCACTTGCAGAAGACCCGGATTGGGTCCCAACACCCACGTGGCATCTCATAACTGCCTGTAACTCCAACTCCAGGCATCTCAACACCCTCTCCCAGGCTCTACAGGCCTCTACACATGTGTAGTGCACATATATACATTCAGGCACAAACATATATACATAGGATATATTTTTAAAATAAATCTTTAGGAAATCCCCACCATATGTAGACAACAATAAATGAGAATCTTTTCCAGGACTTACATCAAGGGCAGGAGGATAGCTCAATAGAGTGTGCTGGGCAAACATGAGGCTGAGATTCCGATGCACAGAAACCACATAAATGGTGGATGGATGTGTTTGTGTGTCTGAAATTTTAGTCTCAGAAGTCCAAAACAGAATGTCCAGAACAAGCTTGTAGTGAGATAGTCCTTCTGTAGCACTGACCACGCCCTTTGGGGGTGGAGCCATGGGCAGAAGTGACCTGTGGAAGGAGGTCGGAGGGGGCCAGGAAAGGCTCTCTTTCTGGCCTGACTCGGACAGGAGAGGATCGGGTTGAATTTCCTGGTGTTCATCTGTCTAGGTTGTAAGTTATTTCTCCCTGAATAAACATCTATTCGGCCTATTTGTTTATCCTGATCCTTATTTACCGAGATACAAGCTTACTAGCTGTGTGAGTGAACACTGAGTTTAACGGAGAGACCCTGCCCATGAGTAAGGTGAAAGGATTAAGGTTGATTCCCAACGTCATCCTCAGACCTTCACATACACAAGTATGTACTCACACACATGCAAAGCCAGTATACCTATTCACACCACACACAAAGTAAAAAATAACTACGTCAAAATTACAATATCAAGAGGTTAAATTATTTAGGATGAGGGGTTGTAGGGAAAGATAACAGATACTCTGGGGTTGGTAGTTCAGTGGTAGTGCATAGGCCTAGTATGTTCAAGGTTGACTTTGAGCTCTAGCAACACACACACAGTGCATACACTCTACGCCCTGCTCCCCAAGTCACATGTATAAGATCCAGGGCCTATGCAGTATGTCACAATTGGCCACCTCTCTGTTCTCAGGCAAACAGAAGTACTTAGATTCCGAATCTAAGTGTGGGGCTGAGGCTGGATAGCACAGAGGCTCCATGTGGGTATATACTATCACATGCCCATCTTGGAATCAGGCAAAAACCTGTGGCACCAGAAGATTACCAAATCTGGGAATAAGTGGAACCATGATTAGGACCATGAATATGGATATGAAGTATAAAAGGATCTTATCATACATACCACATTTTCTCTTTCCCTTAGTTCTGCTGGGGTGGAGTGTCTGATAAGGTTTGGGTGTAGTCAGACGTCCTTTGTATTACCAGCTCCCAAATAATGACATGGTGACTTCTTATTAATATTGAAAGCTTGTAGCTTAGGCATGTTCCCAACTGGCTTATAGTTTAAATTAAGTAGTTTATATTAATCTATGTTCTGCGATGTGACTCGTTACCTCTGTACTGTGAGTCCCATTTCCTCCATGTCTGACTGGCAAATCTTGCCTCTCTTCTTCCCAGAGTTACTATCTCTGCCTGGAAGTCTTGCCTAGCTATTGACTTTTCAGCTTTTTGTTAAACCAATCAGAAGGTGCCTTGGCAGAGACACATCTTGTACAAAAAGATTATCCCACAACACCGGGTCATATCTAAGGACCCAGCATTTTATGTAAAATCTTTGTTGCTTAGGAACCAGAAATTTAACATTTCAATCTTAAAGGTAGAGCCATTGATAGAATAGATGAAAGGATTTTTGTAGCAGATTGTTGAATCTGTTTCAATCTTAAAGGTGGAGCCATTGATAGAATAGATGAAAGGATTTTTGTAGCAGATTGTTGAATCTGTGATGGAGCACAGAGAGCAACTGCAAATTTTATTCTAGAAATAATGTGTGTCTGCACATTTGTGCTGCTGGGGACTGGATTCAGGGTCTTGCATGTGTTAACCAAGCACTGTACTGCTGAGCTACATCCCAGGCCCAGAAATCCTTTTCTGAAATCCAGTCTCCTATGCAGTCATATCCAGGAGATGGTAATAGGATCCTGGCAAAGTCCCCTGCAGGTGAGGTTGGTTCATTCAATAAACATTTATTGAGTATCTGTTGAGTATCTGCCATGTGCTAGGCACAGCATTATGTGCTTAGGAGACAGTGCTGACCAAGCCAGTTGATCTTTACCCTATGGGTCTCATGACTTACTGGCAGAAACAGACACACACATATACAAAAAAAAAAAAAAATGTAAAACTGTTTCATTACAGTTAAGGAAAATGAGTATGGCAGAAAGAAGCACAGAGTAGCCAGGCATTGGTGGCATATGCATCTAATCCCAGCATTCAGGAGGCAGAGGCAGGTGTATCTCTGTGAGTTTGAGGCCAGCCTGGTCTACAGAGCTAGTTCCAGGACAGACTTCAAAACAATACAGAGAAAACCTGTCTCAGGGTTAAAAAAAAAAAAAAAAAAAAAAAGCAG